TCGCGCCGGCAGGTGAGACTGGAACGAGGGAGGAGCAGCAGAAGGGATTCATCTGATCTACCGATCCACTATTAGAGAACAGAATGGCAAGGGGCGATGGAGATGGCGAGGTGGACGGGGATCGCGGCGGCCACGTGCGGGTGATACGGTTGAGTTGGTTGGTTCCTTTTGTTGTTTCATCTCGCTGTCTACCTTTCTCTCCTTCCTCTGCCCAGCGATGCAGAGACCGAGGAGTCGACCCGACTCGAGAGGCGGCCGGTGCTCAATGATAATAATTATTTTGGCAGGGGCCTTTATATATATATATATATATATATATATATATATATATATATATATATATGAAAAAAATTATTTTTTTCTTGATTTGCTATTATCGAATGGAAATGATGGGTGAAATTTGTTGGAACTTCTGCTGATGATGACGTGTGTTGGATGCTTCTGAGGTGATAATACGAGGATCGTCTGTCAAAAATGTTTTATTTTATTTGAAGAAGATAAGGTTCATAGAAAAGTCCAATAACAAAGAAGGGCTTTACTCATCGCCTAAGTAGATGTTTGACTCAGACACGCGTACGACAAAGATCCGATGCGCATATGCGGCAGTGGCGTCGTCTCATTGGTCGATGACGGCGGTTGACAGCTGGAACTCGGTCAAAGGGGGGAAGGACCGAGTCCGTGGCGAGATGCATGGTGGGTTTCCTTTCACCTTCGGTGGGCCCCTATTTCTGGTGTACTTCACAGCGCGCATCAGTTTACGGTGTCAGAGATCAAACAGTAAAGAGTTGAAATATAACGCTATACCTATTTATTGTGTGGGATAAAAATAAGGATTAGCATGTACTTAATTCAATTTGCAGGGATTAAAAATACTTGGGAAGATAATTCTTGCGGGTGGGAATTAAAGCCAAACTTGGGATCCAAAAGACAGTCAATTTGAAAATAAATACATTGCTAACTACAATTAGTCACATTAGTGGAGTGATTTGCACAATCTTAAAGATAATGAAAGACTATAAAACTCTTTAGATCATATCAATAAAGGCACAAAAAGGGTCTTCTATATTTTCATCGTTATGTGGGGTCGAGAATAGCTGAATAGGCCTTTAATTTCTATTAAAGAGAGAATTCAATAATCACATGCAACTTTCTGAAATGAAATGGACCCAACGACAACATCGTACACCATTCCTTGGACTACGTTTGAAAACATATTTATATTTTTAATATGCAGTTAGAATAAAAAAAATATTTGAGTAATTGTAGATTAATGCAAGTGTTATTTGATAAATTTATATTTTTAAAATTGTATTCAATATTTTAAATAAATTTACCTATTTAAAAATAAAATAATATATATATTTTTATTTAAATAAATAAATATATGTAATCTTATAATAAATAAAATTTTTATAAATAGTAAAAAATAATTTTAAAATAAAAGCATTTTCATTCATTTTCATTTTTATAGAACAATAAAAAAAATAATATTAACTAGAGGTTAGCATCAATATTTAAGTATTTTTAATCTGACATCCAAACTAGATGCAATTAAAAATATTATCAAATACCAATTTATATTTTAAAATATATATTGGGCCCTCAATAAAATATGTTCCTAAATGTAGCCTTATTGGATGTTGATCATTATGTTATATTTAATACTATAGAGGAAAGGACATTAAAATGAAAGCATGATGGGGTTTAGTGAGGCATTACAAACTGTGGATGATTACAATATATGGGACTTTGATAAGCTTGATGTCACGATCAACCTTCTAAAAGAAAATAAATAATGGGAGCAACTTGAGCAACACTAGAGGATACAAAAGAAGGCTTAGTGATGATAATTTGGTCTGCGCCCTGACAGCTTCCATGTATTGATTGAATAACAAAATGCATGATTGTTGTTTACCGACATCTATCATGTTGTCATAATAAAATTAGTCCAAATGCAGAACAAAGTGAATCACAACATACAGCATAAAATAAGATGCATAAATCATGATGTCAAATGAGTGACACCATACCAACAGCTAAGCCAAAAAAAGGCAGGATGTTGAGAGTGCTCGAACAAAGAGTCTCTTAAGTATGCAATAAACAAATCAAGAAACATATAATTCTAAAAGAAAAAAAAGAGAGAAATTTCCCTACCGTATGATAATATTTGCATATAGATCCTGTCCAGGTATTATAATCAATATTTGGTTTATTTTGGGTATGTAGGATCATAAAATCATGAGATTATATGATATAACTTGAGATTCTAAAGAAAGTATAATGCTAGACTTGTTTCCGGTGTCAAATTCTTATCATTCCTGATGATTTGTAGAGATTATAATCAAGTAATTCAAGTGCTAAACAAAGCAGTGAATTCAAATATCCAATATTTAAAGATGAGCCTAATTCATTATATCAAAACTGCATAGCAGATGGAAAGAAAAGCAAGAAAGATGTATTACCTGAACAAGTCATTCTTGGCATTCGGTATAAACACCGAAGAAATCACGTAAAATTTGGTTCCACAGATATAAGACAGACTCTCCTGTCCTTTCTCGTGCTTGACCAACACCTCATGTGGCTGTGAACGTAGCCTAGACAATGTCCTCTCTGCGAGCAATTAACAGGGGTGATGATCGGAGGCAGCTCTCTTGGCATTGTAGGAACAAATCGGTTCTGAAGCAACTGGTATTTGCATTAGTTAATATGCCAAAGATTGGAGTGAATGGTGCTACTTGTAATGACCTTGAACTTGGCCCAGAAAGTCTTACATTCTGCAAAATGTGTCTCACCATAGATCAGTTGGTAGAGATTGCAACAAGGATATCAGATGTCCAATGGTCGCTGCTCATTACACATGAACGTTTCTGTGAATCCTGTGCAGATAGTTTGATGGACCGCGATTTGGACAATACCAATCCTGTACAGATAGTTTCCTTAACTCTTAACAATAACCACCACCCTGCAAATTGGCAAATACCAAACGTTAAATTGCGAGAAGTATCTGTTGTCAGAGTACTTCACATAGATACTAGGCATGAGTTTCATCAGATGCGTAAATTTCTATGGTCATGGCAAAAGTTTGGAAGCAAAACACATCCATTTTGAGTGTCAGAGTTGATATGAAAAGATTCAATATGGTGTACGGTAGATAAACTAAATAGTTAAAACTGAACTTCTATAGCATACATTGAATGTAAAATTAATAAATATGTATATATATGTATATATGTATATACATATATACATATATATACATATACATATATATACATATACATATATATACATATAATTAAAACCCTTTTCTCAATGATTTAATATAGAAAAAGTGATGTACTCGATCGAAGAAGGACAGTACATGCCAATTCCTAAGAGATGGTTCAAGGAGCAACTGTACACATAAGAGATCAGAATACTCTGCAGTACATGATTCAATGGTGTCATTTTGGACCAGCCACGCTTCTTTAGCTTACAGATTGCTTTCCAGAAAGGTACAAATTCGTTCACCAACTCTATCTATCACAGACTTAGTAGGGATAAATCTTGAATGAAGAATGTTGAGTGTTGACCAAACAAATACCTCATAATTAAAATTATCTTTGCTCCACATAAACAAAGCAATAAATCCTTGTTATCAGAGGAAATGGCATGGAGAGAGGCAGCATCTTAAGCTAGTTACTATAAGTTTCTCAAAGCAGCCTATCAGAGCATACTGACCTCGGACTTGATGAACCAATCGATATCCGCGTCGATCCGCCGCACCTCGCGATCAATGTCCTCGTCGATCGTCGGGAGGATGATAAGAGGCCACTCCCCGGACGAAGATGCGACCCTTCGGTCGTCCAATGAGAGCCCTAACCCAGTGGAGACCGATCGCGGCTGGAGGAAAGCTGCGAGTTCTCCAGGAGGTCCTGCTCCTTGGGGCGCTTCCTCTTCAGCACCCAGCAGTTCCATCCGCCAACGACAGCGGCCGTGGACCCTGCGCCGGGGACGAGGCCCATGACATGGATGACTACCGATCGAAGCCAAACAGGAAGAACGAGAACGGGAGGGGGTCAGCACTGCACGAACCGAGATGAAACCCTGGAAATAGGTCGGGGAAGGGAGAAAAGTGGATTACAGGAAGGTTTGGACGGATCAGGGCAAGCGGCAAGGCTGAAGTCGATTGGCGCGGAGGTTGGGCCATCAATCGTTTTTGCCGACGAGAAATGGATTAACCACTTTATTGCGAGCAGGAAATTGGGGAAGGGAACCGGATTGCAGAACCTGAAGGGAATCGCCTGATGCTGCTGCTGCGGCGCCGCCGCCGGCTGTGGGAGATGGTGGTGATGGAGGGAAGAACGGAAAACGAAAAGGAGAGAGGAGCATCCGCAGAGATAGACCGCCACAAGGAGGGAGCTGTTGTATGGTTTCGGGCAGCAAACACGATTCGTCTATTTCTGATGGTCGACAAATCAACACCGTATTCTTTCGAGATGGAAGAGATCACCGCCTTGGGCTGGTCCAACCAGACCCAGACCCAATCTCTATACCCGAGGCTCATCTTGATCCCTATTAGGTGGGTTGGATTGATCGAGGTGAGGTCCGAATTATTACTTTCGTAGGTACATATTTATTTATATATCATGTACCGATATTTTTCTTCTTGACTTTTTCTAATTACTTTTAAATACAATTTTCCTAATTTTTTTGTCACTAAAACTGTTAGAAACTAATATATGTTAAGACTTTTTCTTCATAGTAAAAGCTTTGAAGATTATAAGTTTGAATTATATATATATATATATATATATATATATATATATATATATGATGTATGTATGTATATAATATATGTATATATATGTGTATATATATATATATATATATATATATATATATATTTATTTATATACACACACACACACATACATACATACATACATATATAGCCAGCAACTCATCAATATATAGTATTTTCCTAATAACTTCATCTTTTGGAATTATTGATCAACCAATTAAACTCTTTATCAGGAACTACAAAAGAATAAAGAATCAACAGCTTAATCAAGAACCACGATGAGCACGACAGGCGAGCCTGTTGTGTCCTTCGTTTGAGCATTCAAACCTTTAAGCACAAACAAAAGCTACTGTTTGCAAGCTGCACTAAGCTCTCCTATGCTTGTCCATGGCAGACAACAATTCCTGTGGCTTCAGTGCACAGATATAAGCTTATGAATTCTGCACATCCTTTTATGAACTTATTTCAGCAGTGTCATCCATTTTCAGGACCAAATCCTCAGTGGAACTGCCAGTTTTCGTTCTAACTTCTTCATATCCCTCATTTTTCATTTCTGTTCCTATCACATGTGCAGAGTTCTCGACAGTTCGGAGTCTAGATGGTGTTTGCGTGTTGGGTAGAGGAAGAGACTCATTGCTGGCCAATCCTCTCGAAAGAGCTACATACCGAAGAACAATCTGCTTGTAGCAATTTAGAAGGCTTTCGACATCATCAACTGTTAGATCTCCAGCACTAGCAAATAAGAACGGGTAGTCCTGAAAACATCTGCTTATGTTTTCATCCTTCAAAAGGTCAGCAGTTCCTTTCTTCTCTAGATCTGAGATGGACAACCTATTAGCTAGTGGCTTATCCTTTCCATCCACATCCTGGTTTATAACATAAGATTGGCTTGGGGCATGGTGTCCTTCAACAGATGCTGTGTTGTCCGGCTCCCTGTTGGCTTTCACTAGCCCTAAACCTCGTTCCATGGTGTCTTGACTGGGTTCAGGTTTCTGACCTTCCGTCCCAGTTGATAGGCCCATTAGATGTGCTCTGGCAGATTGCATTTTCTTTTGAAACTCTGCCTCCTCCATTGAAAGAGCTTGTGCATCAATATTCCAAATAAAAGATTCTGCAGAGAGGATATTCGTGAAGAAATATGCAGCTTCAGAGACTAATCGTGACTGGCGCCTGTAGCGCTGTATGTATAACAGGTTCGAATGCAGTTGCGGAGGGTTTGCCTGAAATGTATAAAAGTATTATTAATCTTCAGCAGGAAATGCATGATGAAAGCTGCAAATATCAATGAACACGTAGAAGTTCCTTCAGAACCTAAGTTCTTCTGGTTCTCTAGAACACAATTATGACCCACTATTTTTGTTATTTGGCGAGTCCCTAAGGAAGCAGGGAGTCTGGTAGAAACAAAGTACAGTATCTATGATAATGCTCGATGCTAAAGGCATCAAGGTGCCGAAACATTCGAGGCATCCAGCCTAGGTGCTTATGAATATTAAAACTAAAAAAATATATAATTAAGGAGAAACAACATGTTATATATCAGAAATTCAAAACAGCAACATTCAACAAAGAGAGAATCAAACAAGAGAGGAGATGGATAAGCAACAAAGGTGGAGAGCATACAGTCAGGGCCCAAAAAAAGGGCCGATTTCTATCATCCTTTTTAGCCAAATATGTTGGAAACTTATTGTTTATCTTGTTATAATTGCACATTAATTTTGGCCAAAGTCACTTCTTGAATCATGTTATAAAACTGAGAACTCAACTACTTGATGCAACCACCAACTTATCTGATGAATAAAAATAGTTATACCCTGCCTATGGTAAGTTACCAATATTTATGGATTCATCGACTTGACTATAGTGGAATAGCTGGCACACAATTGAAATGGAATGAGAAATGTTAAAAAGCAACTGCTTCTTCAGCATGGTCATTGCATGGAAAACATACCTTTATGGTAACATAAATGAGGACAGGAAGAAACTCATCGGCACCTGGAGGGTTCTCATTTGATGTGATTGAAGCATTTAATAGCAAGTTATTAATGACTTTGCAACAATTGAGGATACAAATGAGCTTGTCTCTAGGAGCCTTGTACATATTAATCTTCTGCAGTTCCTTTTGTGCAAGCTATCACAAATATAAACAATATAATGATTAGAGATAACCGTCTTGGTGCCTGTAAAGATAATTTCAGAAGTACTAGAGCCATATAATGCCCCAAATGTTACTCTCTAGGAGCGTTGTGCATACTAATCTTCTGCAGTTCCTTCTATGAAAGCTATCACAAATATGAACAATATATGATTAGAGATAACCGTCTTGGTGTATGTAAAGATAATTTCAGATGAACTAGAGCCATATAATGGCCCAAATGTTAATCAATAATTACTAAATTAGCAAATGTGAAATGGTAGTTATTGGATGTTAAAAGCTGTTTCAAAATTCGATAGAGAAGTGTGGAGGTCGGCATTTGGCTGACAGTACATCATAAAAGGCAGTTCAAAGTTCGAACAAGGAAATCCTGATTCAACATCAGCAACATCTTAGGAGTAGATAACAATGAAAAATTGACTCAAATTAGAAAATTGAATACAGATATGTGACATGACATCACTGGAGATGCTAAGATTGTAGCGAAAAGAGCAACATCAAGAAAAAGAAATTGTAATTCTTTGTGGATGAAGAAGCAAATGCTGTACTCAGAAGAGATTATCTGAATGTGAATATGCAACGTCAGACTGCAAAATCAACATGACATATACTGACAACATCATAAGCAAACTTACAACACTAGGAAAAAATATATGATTATAGTAAGATTATATAAACAAGCAGGGTATAACTTAAGCACATCAGCTAAAGGCCTGAATATCTTTGACGTCCTTTCCAATAATTAAATTTATGACATTCTCAATTGAAAGTAAATAATTTTGCCATAAATAAATTTGCCACCTAAAAATAGGAAAAGCAAGTAACCCTTGCAGCATCAGGCATTTGACAAAAAGGAGAAATTAGATCGCGATATCAGAGTATATACCAAACAACTGGAATTTCATGATAAAAGAGAATATCATGCACTTAAGACGAATTCAATAGATAGCTTAATTAAAATCGATATCCATAAAAGCGAGGAAACTGCTCCATGAATTTCTTAGTATGGAGTTTAAGGGAAAAAATTCAGTAACCATTGAATTTATATCAACAAAGATTATTACACAATGGAGTTAATTACCACAAAAACATCTGCTGTTGATACTTAAATTGTTCTTTACATGGTAAATTACAAAAAAATATATGTTATTCGATGGTAATATCAACCCCCAAATAATTCAAAATATCTTAAATCATTCATCAGTTTTCACCATGCCAAATGATTCTCAAAATAGTTAGCCAAAATTTGGTTAGTTAGATATTGTCAATGGTACAATAATTATAACATAAATCCAGATGGGTTGAGATATGGAAATCAATTGTCAGAGGTATGATTTCGTTCAAGTGTGATGAGTGATAAGGCCATTCTCTCAGTTAATCAACTCACCAGCCATGATGTCTCATTTTGGAAGGCCTTCTTTACATCTAAATTTTCAGGCCGTACAAATTGTTGTAGTAAAGCCATCTTCTCAGTAAGTTCTTCATCACTGTTTGCATCTTCTTGAACTGATGCAAATACATGATTAAAAAGTTTTGTCATGATATATTTCTCCAGGCCCTGTAAATATGTATAAAAAATGTCCAGAAACATCCTTAAGTTCAGAAAGAAAAAATGATGATCAAAGCATTGACAAACATGAATATGAGTGTAAATATTTCCATAATGAAAGGTGCAAAAAATTCATGAAATGGAACCATTGATCAAGTTGTCTGAAGGAAAGTCACTCAGAAATATATATGAACAAAACTAAATTGTCACATATTAGCTGTTTATTCCTACGGACAGGCTCTGACGCTCTATCATTGAGAAGAGAGGAAGATTGTGAAAGCAAACTTGCAAGTTTACAGGCATCAGCACTTACTAAGAGACACAGATGTCAGCATGTGTAACTTGCAGATAGTTATCAAAAATCACAGAGTGAATGGAGAGGAATATGGACTTTTGAACATTGAGTAAAGGGGAAAAACAAAGACATATATTCCAGTAAGTCATAAGATCACAAAACACAACTGACAAGAGAAGCCTTACGTTGTCACTTGATGAGAAATATGGGTAGACTAACAATTAGTAAGGTCAATAGATTGAATCCAGAAACCCCTTGCAAAGACTTTGAAACGATGGACACTGATATAGAGATTTTATTATGTTATATGAATATATACATGGAACAACTCTGGTCAAGAACTGTCAAATGAGCTTTCAACACAAAAGGTAAATCTTTAATGAATATTCCATAGTTGGGTTCACTCAACAATCCATGACCCTTGTTCTTCTTAAAGAAAAGGAAGAGTAAATGGAGACCTATTTACAACTTTTGACCATTGAAAAAGCAGAAAAATTCCTTTTGTTCAAAGGTCGAGTCATATACTAGCTATTTGAATCTTGAAGCAAACAGTTAGAATCTATGGTATGGAGAAATTACAACAAGAAAGAAAGGAATCTTCCACATCTAATATTCAGCAGTACTTATCTTGATCCTCCTACATGTCTAGATTTGTGCCTCTAGAGGGCTACTACTTGGATTGGTAATGAACCAGACATTTCTAGTGTAGTTTTTTCCTTTTTGTAGTAGATTTAGGACATTGCCTCCGAAATTGATCTGTCTTTTCCACCAATGAAGAATTAGTGCAACTTAGGAAATGAACATTCAGATAATACTAGCAAATATAAGGAAGCTTACTTAGATATTTGTAATGTCTAATAGAAATATACTTGGGGGTGAGCAATGGCATTGTAAAAAGTTTGCTTCTTTATAATCTAAGAGACCAGGATTCGAGTTAAGAAACAATATCTCTATATGCGGGGATAAGATTATGTACATTAACCCTTCAGACCTGCACTGATGGGAGTCTTTTGCACTGAGTTTACCCATTACAAATAGAGATATGCTGTGTGTCTATTTGGTTACATGTATATAAGCATCCTTTTGACCTTCACGAGTTGTTAAAAGTATCATTATCCTGTGATAGGATAAAGATCAGCAATTTTTATGTATCACCTTTCCATTTTCAGAAAATGTTTTCCATAAAACACAAAAATTGTGTTGCATATCCCAATGAATTCATGGAAAACAACTTGCAAAAGCTCACCTCTCCAGAACTTTCTAGTTCTTCTTCCGAACTACCAGCCCAAAGCGTATGGGCCCTAAAAGCTCCTTCCATGTTGGCAAGAAACTCCTGTACAGCAGCACTATCTTTTTCTGGATCAGGTGCTTTATTTGAAAAGGATGTGATGAAGCTGCCATATCAAAATAATCAATCTTAAGCACATTACCATATCAGATGCAAAAAATATTAGACATTTTTTACTACAGTTGGTTTCCTATAAAAAAAAAAGCTGCTGAAGAACAAAATCAATGGCATGCGTTGTAAAACAGTGTAACCTATGTGACAGTTTTGAGATTTTCAGATAAAAGATCTGCAAAGCCATTTTTCAAGATGGTTTTTATGTATTAGGAAATTAACATTATTATCCGTAGTATCCACATAAGAGCGTAACAACCCTGAGATGATTTGCTAAAATTAAGAGAACATAAATAAGAAAATTAAATATCAAACAAGGAGTGAGCATTCATCCAAATAACGATATTAGGTCAATAACGAGCTCAACAAAATTGTCAGATTTGCATTGGCCGACACCTGCCAAGACTGAACCAATATTGCTTGAGGTTAATATTTTACTGCATTTCTGATCAGGATTAGGATAGATTGACCATATCTATGATGGGCTTTTGCAAAATCAAAATTGTGACACTTAAAAATAATTTATGGTCCCTCTTTAGTTTCTGCAACTATTTGATTGTTATTGATAGAGAACTTTTACAAGATAGAGTTAGCAGCAAACAGAAAAAAAAAAAAAAATGCAGCTAAGCCTCCAAAGCACTCATTTAACACCTGATATTACCATACAGGATAATTTATTTATCTCCCAAATAAATTGATTGCTTCCATTGCATAAATCCTACCCCATGGATCGTACCAGATATGATGAACGGATAACCTAGCAAAGGCTTGAATCCAGAGGTAAAAACGAAGGTTCAAGAACCAATTATCATCCATAAATTGAATGCCACAACTGCCAAGAAAAGCCAACATCTCTAATGACGGCTGAGATGTGTAAGAAATTCAACAGGCTCTTCCAGTAACAAATCAGCACTGGCAAACCAAACAAGGTCACCGTAATGCTAATCAGAACCCCAATCTCCGTCTACCCAATGGCAATGCAGCCGCTTGACAGAATCAAATCGAGAAATACCACATGTTTTAAAGCCTCTACATGGAACGGAAGAGGGGGGCGCTGACCTCTTGATCGATTTGACAAAATCGGAAGCTGAGGGGTGGCGCATCCGCTCCAAGAAGTCATGCCAGGTGAGAGGGGCGGTGGAGGAGCCGAAGGCGTCGCCGCCGCCGCCGTTCTCCATCTCGTGGAGGATGGCCTTTCCACGCAGGATATACAGATCGAAACGTTCGCCGGGAAGACGAGAAGGAAGAAACCAACGAGGTTTAGAGTGGCCGATAGAAGAAAGAGACAGGAAGAGATACGAAAGCCTCGCGCCTCCGACGGCCAAACGAGTCACCAAACTATTTCCCCTTTTTTCCTTAAAAAAAATTAATTTAAATTAATTAATTTTCGCGATCTTTTTACTATTTATAATCTTATTTTAAAATCTTTTAATATTTCTAAATTATTTCTTTATAAATAGATTTTTTTTTTTTTGTTCTCCCTTCTCTTCTTCTTTGTTCCTCTTTTTTGATATCGACAAGAGAGATATCAGATTATAAAATAAAAATTATGAAAATAATAAAATTAGTAATATCGAGATTATAAATAGTAAATAATATTTTATTATTTTAAGTGATTATTAATAATAATGTAGTTAAATAGTAAAGAAGAGATGTGAATAGTAAGCTTTTTTATTTTACAAATTTATCATTTTGGACCTTTAGATCTTTTTTTTTACCTACATACCCTCTAGATATTTAAATATTTCATATATAGCAATTATCTTCAACATTCCGTCACATAATTAAAATATCAAAATTTTGGATACCTAAAATATTTTTATTATTTTCATCAATTATTTGATCCCAAATATTTCTAAATATTTTTAAAATGGTACTAATATCAATTTGAATTAATAATTAGTAAGTTAGGCTTATCGAGGTAATTAAATATTACCCCCATAATTAACTATAATTAGCATCTCGATCCTAATATCTAAAAAGTAATATTGGGTTCATACACTTACGAAGGTGAAACATTAACCCCAATTCTCTTTACGTCATTAATTTCGTAGATGCAAAAAATCATACGTATTATCACTTAAAAAAAAATTATGAATGGAAATGATAAAAATATAATTTAATTATTCTACTCGTCCGTCACACTTGTTGCTCGCCACTCGTCTGTAACACTTATTCGCTCGCATCTCGCCCATTGCACCTACTCACTTGTCGCATTTGCTCACCCACCACACTTGCTCGTGAGTTAGTATGATGGACAAGTGATGAGTGAATAAATGCAATGGACGAGTAGCAACAGACTACAAGCGAGCAATTTGAAAAGATAATAAATTATATTTTTATCTTTTTCATTTATTTTTTTATATGCATGATTTTTCTCCTCGACGAACTTAACAACGTAAGAAGAATTATGGTTAAATATTTCACCTTCATAAATGTAGGAATCCAATATTACTTTTTTAAGTATAAAGATCGAAATATTAATTATAGTTAACTATAGAGAGTAATATTGATTAGATAGTCTTAATATAGTCTTAACCTAAAAAATCAATCCAAGTTCAACTCTCATTTGACCTGAATTTATAGTAAGTTTAACCCAATTGAACCTAATGTCTATAACATGCATGCGGAACGCGTGGCTAGTGTTATAACGAAGAAATAATTCCTCTATGACCATTAACCGATTGATTTAATACCTAAATTAAGATATTGGTTAATTGCAATCACCCATGATTTAGGATCTTGACAAGCTTGTAAATATACAAAAATAATATTATGATGCAATATCATAGCCTCTGGCCAACTCCTCAAAGTCTCTTTTATGAAACACAATACCCACCAAGGTATATAATACCGTACCATATCGTACCGGTGTTTTGAGCTTGGCTCGATACGATACGGCACCAGTGTATTGAATGATTTTTTTTTATTATAGCACTATTACAATATAGCACTATAGCATGATCCATCTAATAGCGGATGGTCTGCGTACCGATATGTCATTGGTCGATCTATGAAAAGGGTATCAATTCCAAATCTTGGGCATAATTTGAGTGGTGGTGCCTTTCTCGATCATTTTGCATCTTCCACAGTCACTATGCCGCTGCATCGAACCAAAATATCTTCTTGTCGATATCTTAAATCAAGGTTGATTACATTCAATCAACCTCTTAACTTATGTATGAAACCATTAGGTCAATGATTATATAAGAATTATTTCCTTACGTGCTGTGAACATAATAATCTGAAAATTATTTCTTTGCAAGTGTTATAATAGGTGTCAATCGTTAGTAGAGGAGTTTATAGCCAACCACTATTTAATTTTAAGTACAGAAATTTAGGATTTTAACCCATACTCATGTAAACACTATATATCCGATAAAACTCCTTTAATATTTAAATCAGTATTAATTTAAATGATTCAATCAATATATTCATTTAAAATATTTAGTATATCATTATTAGATTGAGATCGTGATAAATATATCAAAAATAATTATACATCTCAATATCGTCAGCCTTGTGAGATTGAATTTCACATTATATGTTACCTGAATGAATGAGATTAAGGTCGTGATCAATTATTGCTAAATTAATGGTGGGGGAGACGTGATCAATTACCAAATGTTATTTATAGAAGTTTTATCTTCTTCTTTTTTCCTTCTACTTTTAACCTCATACATTTTGAGCAGTATACATTAAGTTTGCTCGTCAAAAATGTCATTTTTTTAAGGAACATGGACAAAGTGCATGAAAAGATCATGTCACATTGTAATTAATCTCTATTACCATGATAACCTCTCATGGGAATAGATTGAGACTGTCCAGAATTGTCTAATCTAACTAACTAATCTAATCTAATAAGTATAGATATAAATTCATCAAACCTATCCGAACATGTATTTCGTAATACAGAATTTTGGAATTGATACCCTTTTCATAGTGAAACATTTCGAAAGAATTAATTGATCCAAGGAGAGTTTTTTTCGTCTTGAAACTCAATTCGTTACTTCAAGTGGGTTTTCGAGTATTCATCGAAAGGAACAAATGAAAATAAAATTGGTTCAAAATTTTCCAATTGAGTTGATTGGATGATGTTTTGAGAGAGTTTAGAGGATTAATTATAGATTATCTTATGTAATTAACTATCATAAGTATCTCGATCCTTACACTTTAAAAAATTATATTGGATTCTTATAGTTACGAAAGTGAAATGTCTAGGTCTATTTAATCTAATAATATCATTTTTATCAACAAAAATATAAAAAAATAATTTTAATATTTTAATTGATGGTGGCAGATGATGGCACAATTGGGGGCCGCAATGTGACTGTTGTGGATGAGACAAACGATGATGAGAGATGAGGGCCGTTCTGCATCTGCGTCGATGCAATTGTCGAGCGACCTTTTCGTCATTCTTCATTTGTGCTAATATCGATATAGTTGCCGAGTGGTGGCTCTCATCTCTCGTCGTCGTTTTTCTTATTTACAATAGCCACTTCTAGCTTTCAGTAACATCGTTGTCCGTCATCACTAATTAAAATATTAAAATTATTATTTTTTATTTTTCATATTTTTGTTGATAAAATCGATTACATCAGGATAAATAGACATAGATATTTTATTTTCGTAATTATAAAAATATTAATATATTTTTTAAAAGTATAAAGATTGAGATATAATTATAACTAATGATAGGGATAGGGATAATATATAATTAACCCGTCGCAATGTTGCACTTGTGAGTAATTAGCCCGATATTAGATCGCCGCAATGTTGCACTTGTGATAGGAGGCTGCGCGTGAAATGTTCGATAAAATGATTGTACGATATATTTGCTTGCTCGAGCTGCGCATTTGGATGTTGCCTGAGTCTTCGCGGCGCTTGTAGAACTCGAGGCAATGTTGGCCTGAGAAAACGGAGTTTAAGCTACCTATTCTGAGATCGCCCAAAGACCGTCAGATTCTGCGTTCTGCTATCCAAAGTTGTAGAACGGGATGGCTTGGTTAGACACGGCTCCTGAACAAGAAATCAATCGCCTTCATGATTTTACTGGGAACCATTACCATGCTCCAACAGGACGTGAAGAGAAAGCAGGGCAAGAACACAATGGAAGCCAGTTTTCTCAGCTTGGTCTGCCATGTTTACCATCTGCTATTATTGTGAATCCCTGCAAGAGCAGACGAGTGGCCCTTTCTCCGGAGGGTCCACTCGACCGTGTCTTCTCCGACCAGGAACAGCAAGCTATGCAGCCCGTTTCGGCCTGCCGCGAAACGGCCGATCAAGCTTCCAGGTGAGAAACACCTGTGACATATTTCGGGAGCTGGTGCTGTCCTTCTTCGACATCCGGCGTCCCAAGGACCGCCGAGACATGGGGAGCCAACAACAGCACTCCACGACTGCTTGGCGTCTTGGTGCGAACACATTGACGAGGGGGACACGCGAGCCTCGATGGGTCACAGACTGTCCATAGACGAAGCTGGTGCTTGCTTGCAGTACTAATGCGTTACCGATGGCGGAGCAGTGCCGGTGAGAAGGATCCAAGAGTGTCAGTCGTGCACGAGTCAGCGGCAAAGCCATTTGCTTCTGTATTCTAGTAGCAGCGGGCAGGTGACCGTTGGCGATGGTGGCACGGTGCGGCCAGCAGCTGCAGCGGCATCCGCGGCGGCACGTGCGCGACAGAGACTGCCTCGATATTAGACACCGGTGGTTACTTACCCACTTCCTCGGTAAGTGCTTCGCTGTGTGCTTCATTCCGAACTCCATATATATATATATATATATACATATATACATACATATATATATATATATATATATATATATATATATAATAATCACGAG